CAACCATTTATTTCTCTAGACTCTTTGAATCTCACAGCTCAAAAACATTATCCTTGCTGTATTCACCAGTTTTGAACTATTATATCATGATTTTTTTCTTTTTGTCTTTTTCACTGTACCTGGAAATTGAACTTGGGTCTTTGGGAATGCCCACAATGACACCCCATACCTTTTAATATTTTATTTAGAGAAGGGTCTCTTTAAGTTGCCCAGCCTGGCCTCAACCTATGATCCTCCTGCCTCAGCTTCCCAAGTAGTCGGGGTCACTGGCATGCTCCATGTCTCACTATTAGACTTTCTTAATCCTAATCATGCCCAATCCTCATGAGATCAGGTTCCAAAGCCTTTTGTATATCACAACTTTCCCCCAGTGAGAAGCTACTAGCTATCTCATTGAGACAAAAATGAATTGACCTGTGTCTTATCAATATCCTGTTCTGGTGGCACTTTAAGAAGCCATCATTCAACAGTCTCAGCCTCTCTCCAGGTTCTGGAATCCATTCTAACTAAGAAAGATGGGGTCTAGGTTAGAGGAACTCTGGTCACATGGTAAGGTTTTACTCTTATGTTCAATATAAGTGGTCCTAGGAAATCCAGCCTGGACCTACACATTAATGAGGTTTATTCCTGTCTGCTCTGTATGAGTTCAAGAGCTAGGTAATGCGAGTTAAGAGGAGAAAAAACATGAACTCTCCATGCCTGCTTTTCCTCCAGAGTTTAGTGATGGAGACACATCTAGGCACATAAAATATGATCCATCACACCCAAGGAAGTTATGTGGAGAACAGCTTCTCAAATTGCATTAAGAACAAATGCTAGCCAGGTACCTTGGCACATGCCTGTAGTCCCAGCACATGGGAGACTGAGGCAGGAGGATCACAAATTCAAAGTCAATCATCAATCTCAGCAATTTAGGAAGCCCCTGAGCAACTTAGTGAGACCCTGTCTCAAAATAAAAAATAAAAAGGACTGGGGATGTGGGGCTGGGGTTATAGCTGAGTTGGCAGAGTGCTTACCTTGCATGCACAAGGGCGTGGGTTCAATCCCAGCATGGGAAAGAAAGAAAGAAAGAAAGAGAGAGAGAGAGAGAGAACAGGAAAGGAAAGGAAGGAAGGAAGGAAGGAAGGAAGGAAGGAGAGAGAAAGAGAGAGAAAGAGAGAAAGAAAAGGAAAGAAAGGAAAGGAAAGGAAGGAAGGGAGGGAGGGAGGGAGGGAGCAAGGAAGGAAGGAAGGAAGGAAGAGGGCTGGGTATATGTTTAAGTGCCCCTAGCAACCTGGGAGTCTGAGGCAGGAGAATTGCACATTTCAGGCCAGTCTGGGCAACTTAGCAGGAACCCATCTCAAAATTAAAAATAAAATGGGCTGGGAATGTAGTTCATTTGTGAAGCTCCTGGGTTCAATCTCTATCTACTACCACATATTCAAAGAAAAAAGAAAATGCTTCCCCTCAAAATGTGTGGCTGACCAACACTTTTATCAGTACCATTTTATGAGTTTTCTTGGACCGCCATGTCAAATTACCACACATTGTGTGGCTTAAAGCCACAAAGTTTACTTTCATAATTCTAGTTATTTGTTTCCAGTAGCTTCTGGCTCCAGGTTTCCCCTGCATGGTGGCTGCTTCGTTCCAATACTGCCTCTATCCTCAGATGGCCTCTAAGTGGGGTCCCCTTTGTTAAGCTGTTGATGTTGGTTTGGGACATGCTGCATTTGACCTTCCTGTGGGCTAGTCAGAGGGAAGTGTCCATGGAAGTTAGGCTGAACAGGAGAGGTGTGGTAGATTCATGGCTGTTCATCCAGGTGTGAATGTGTATACATTTCTTATATCTAATACAATGTAAGTGCTATGTAAATAGTTGTTTTACTGTATTGTGGAGGGACTCATGCAAAGAAAAACAGCCTGTATGTGTTTAATACACATGAAATACATCTTTCAGTTCACAGTTGGTTGAATCCACAGATGTGAAGCCCTTAGATGTGGAGGGCTGGTGGACTCAGGGTAGTCAAGCTGCTAAGCGCATGGCCAGGTCTAGGGGAAGGGAAAGCTCTCGGCAGAGCTCTGCCCAGAGCCAAGCACTGTGCTGAGTGCTCTAGCTAATTAAATGCTTGCCAGAACAGAGGAGGAACTGCCATTCCAGTTTTTAGATCAAGAACCTGAATGGCCAAGTGGCCCACTGGGATCCAACCACTGAGACATCTGAGTAGACACCAGGCCTTGGTTGGCTTCCGCAGGCTGCATACCCAGGGGGAGCATGGGAAAGACACTCACCTAGGGCAGTTACTGAAGGCAAGGGAGGTATTCATTGGAGCCTTCATGGAGCAAGGATTGCCCTGGTCACATCAGGAAGTAGTCTCTCACCACTGCTCTGCTCTGAGCATCTGCTCCAGTCTTTCCATCTGAAGAGTTCCTTGTGGCCCTCAGCCCACATGGCTGACACTGGCACAAGTAGCTTCTGAGATCCACATGTTACAACCTGGACAGCAGAAGGGGGCTGAAGCCCTCTTCTAAATCCCAGCTCCTAAGTTCCTGATTGGCACAGGTAGTGTGTGGTACCTGTATTTTGGGGGCCAGAGGCCACGTTAGCTCTCTTACAGGAACATGGCAGCTTACTGGTGCAGTCCTGAGATGAGGGATGGGTCTAGGAAGGGAGGTTTCCAGGCCAGGGGTACTTGGTAGGTAGTCCAGGAGGCAGCTACTCCATAAGCTTATTCTTTGCTCTTGATCTGATGCCCACTCCTAGTTCCTTCTTGCTCCTACCTTCAATTTGTCTTGACGTCTACTCATGCAAATTCAGCTTCTGTCCTCATGTCTCTTGCAGTCTGTAGTTGCATTCTCTGATAATACTCCACCGCTATTGCCTGAAATTCTACATGTTTTTGTATTCGAAATGCTCAGATAATTCAATGGCTTTGCATCGATTTCCACACCACATCATTTCAAACTCACTGATTGGTTTAGGACTGGCTACTTTAGGGGACCCAGTTTGTATTCAGGCATCTTCCAGGTGACCCCCTTCTACAGGTATTTGGGCTGAGTGCTTCCACATTGAGCATGAATAGGGGCTGGTACCAGGAGGCAGCCACTGTACCTAGCTTTGCCATGATGCTCCTTCCAAAAGGCTTCCTAAGCTTTTCAATGCTGAAGTCCACTTATGGTATAAAATTAGATCCTTGAGATTGCCACAGGGTGCTGAGGACATTTGTCCAACTCAACAGAGATCCAAATGTACTCTGTCTTAAACAAGTTAGAATATTATTCCTTGCTCAAATATCAAATAGGGAATGAGTAGTCCAGAGCAGATTGGATGGGGACGAGGCTGCTTCTGACTCACTGTTCCATCATCCCTCAGGTGTGGGCCTCATCATCATGGATCAAACTCTTTGGCTACCACTTTCCAGCCAGTGGGAGTTGGAAAATGAATCCCCTTCACTTTCAATGCTGGAGACAGAGTTTGCACCCTTTGCCTTGCTAATAGCTCATTAGCCAGAACTTAGTTGCTTGGCCACACCAGCAAGAGGGGCTAGGAAATGGAGTCTGACTCTGGGTGGTTATGTGCCCAGCTAAAATTTGGGAGTTGTGTTACTTAGGAGGAAGAGAACCTAGATATGATGGACAATGGTACCACCATTCTCCTATCACCCATTTCTGATGCCTTTCCACCATTCAGTATGTCACCCTATCTCGGCATGTCCCAGTTACTGATTCCTTTCCTGCAGGGCTCTGTCTTCATCCCCACACTATTCAGAAATTTTTCATTGGCTCTCACTGCCCATAGCAATTTGCTTTTTTTTTTTTTTTCCTGTACTGGACTTGAGCTCAAGACTACCCTACTACAAATCTACACCTCCAACCCTTTTTCTTTCTTTCTTTTTTTTTTTTCATTCCAGGAATTGTACCCATAAGGTTTCACCACTGAGCCCTGTTCCCAGCCCTTTTTACTTTTTGAGACAGGATCTCACTAAGTTGCCTAGGGCCTTGCTAAGTTGCTGAGGTTGGCTTTGAACTTGAGTCACTGGGATTACAGACACACCACCATGCCTGGCCTTTTTCAATTTTTGTTTTGAGACAGGATCTCACTACCTTGCTGAGATGGGTCTCAAACTTGCTAACCTCCTGCCTCAATCTCCGGAGTTTCTGGGATATAGCTATGAACCACTGTGACTGGCAGGGGGGTACATAGGATTTCTGAATCTTTGAAGTTAGCAAATTTTGCACAGATGTGCATTTTTCTGAGAGCTTCCATTCTCCAAGTGGTCTGTGAAGCAGACTTCTGGAGTTCTAGGCTCAAGTCCTAATTCTTAAGATTAACACGTGACACATCTCCCCACTTCACCCCCAAATCTCATCTCTGTGCACTTCTCCCATACAACTAGAGTCATCCTGAAGTTCTCTCCTTGCTCACCAGGCCACACCTTTTCACGTGCCCAGTGCAGGGTCTGCTGCTCTGTCCCCAGTGCTCTAGCTAGCTCCCACCCACCCTTATGGCTTCGTCCAAAGCCACCTCCTCTGGGAGCTTTCCTGACTCCCTCTGGCAGCCAGTTCCCACAGCACTGTGCAGTCCTACTCCCCTGTGAACCGGGAGGAGGTGTGGAACTTTGAAGAAGAGGGGTCTAGTGGGTGGTCTTTAGGTCAATAGGGGATGTGCCATAGAAAGGAAGTGAGGTATTTCTAGGGGGATCCTGGTTAGTTCTTTTATGAGGGGCTGTCAGAAAAGCTGGAGCTCAGACCATCCAGCTCTCCAGCTTCCTGTTTTGAGATGTGATTCTTCCTCTTCCATGAGCTCCTATCATCTGTCCTAGGTCCCTTGCCAAAGCCTCGGCCATGAGGATTAGACTTACAGCCTTCAAAACTGTAAGCAAAATAAACCTCTTTTTCTTCATAAGTAGGCTGTCTCAGGTATGTTGTTATAGAAATTAAAAAAATGAACTAATGTAGACCTGCACTGCGAGTTCCCAAGAATCAATAGCAGAGAAATGCACAGAAATTTTGAGACAGAAGAATGAGAGGCAGCACTTTTAATATACAAACAGTAAGGACAGGCCAGAGCCCTGCTACCTGAACTTTGGATGTAGCCCAGTAGCCTCAGCATCCTCTGGAAATTGGTCAGAAATGCAGACTCTCAGTCCCCACCCCAGACTTACTTCTTTCTAACAAGGTCCCAGAGGATTTATATGCACATTAAAATTTGCAAAGCATGAGGACAGAGAATGTATAATTGTAGTTTTTTTGTTCTAACAACATGTTTTGTGGTCAAAATAAATCCATTTAAAGCACTTTTCCCCCTCATTATTTGCCCCAACCTCTTCACCTCTGAGCAGCATCAACAAGCATGAATGCTCTTGCTCTGAGACTTGGCATCTCTTGAATCACAATAGCATAAAGAAGTTTTCCACACCATTTCTGAGGATAGCCTTTATGGGTTATAAACTGGATTCCAAAACTTCCATCAGCAGTTTGTTGTGCAGCACCTCCAGGAGGTAGGTTGTAGGATGATTTCTGCTTTGATGATGAAACCGGGGTCCCAGGAAGCTTTGTGACTCACCCAATGAGTGCCATGCAAGTTAGCATTCCAGCCATAAGAAAAACTCATGCTTTTGCGTTTTCAGCAGGAGGCTCACCAACCTGGATGTCTCTTTTCTTTTTATATAAAGGGGAGTTTTGTGGGGGTTTTTTTTGGCATAAGAGATGTTCAGAAAGAACAATTCATAGATAATCTATGTGAGCTACTGAATATGTACCATGCATGTGTGGGGCTAGAGAACAGGGAATTCTCAAGAAGGAATTGTCCAGTGGAGAGAGGTCAGTGCGGGGAGGGCCCTGCCCTGTGCACCCACTCCTGCTGCAGCTATGGCTCAAGGGCTTTTCAGCTAGGAGCCCTGACACCTCAGAGCAGATGCTTGCTCACAGGAACAGCACTGGGGATTACTGTGAGGCTATGGATGAACGTGGTGGCTTCTGAATGACAATAATCCATCTCCAGGATCTCACTTGGATTCGTTTCTTCTGTGGGCTGGGAATAGCTGATAGAACTGGACCCTGCCACTCTGTGATGCACATCATTGACTTGGACTTCCTGATTAATTCCATTTCTAGGGGCAGATTGGAGCCACTTGATGACTCAGAAATGGTCAAGAGTGTTATAGTTGGCAATGATGCCAATATGCTTCTTCCCACCTTGTCTGAATTCAAGATTCCTCTGTCAAGCCCCAAATGGGACTTGCTCATTTTCACCTGACTTCATGGTGATTTCCCAAAGGTCCTCTTGAGAATGATTCAATCCCTTGCCATCCTCTATAGACATGCATATTCAATGAGACATATATGTATATAGTTGATTATAAACAAAATGAGAGTGCATTTTAAAACTCCTTGTAAAAAGTATTGCTTTTCTAATGTGCGAATGTGCTCCTGCCTGCCTACCACACAGTGTTGCCAAGGCAGAGTCACAAGGAATTCAAGGCTGAAGATGTTTGGGATTTGGGTCAAAGCCAATGCACCTGTACTCTGCACCTTGCACCCCACTCTGAAACCCGTGTTGTTCTGGGGCTTGGCCTTAGGCATAAACTACAAAGCATCCTAATGAGCAGAATTACACAACAGGAATGTATGTGCATATGACATAGTTTCTTCTCTTGAGGGGCGACCCTCAGGCTGTGACCCTGTCCTCTCCCAGGGCAGGGAGGAGTGCAGAGAAGGAGCCTTTTCTTCCTGGCTGCTGGTTCCTCTGCAGCCTCTACAGCCAATGCAAGTAAGCCAGGTTACAGAAGCGGGATAGAGCAGTCAAGCGGAGGGAAGCCTAACCAATCACAGTTAGCCCAGTCACCCCAGTTACAGAAACAGAGCCCCATTACCCTAGTTACAGAAACAATACCCCATTGGGTAGTTCCATGTTCCTAAAGGTTTCTATAGCAAAAGGAAAAGAACATCTTGCTCCAGTCATGACTCTTCTACTTGGCATGGTTGTTTTACAGGATGAAGTCATAAAACAAAATGGAGTCACATTTGCTCCTACTATCACATTCCCCACTGGTTTTAGTAGGCTTGATGTCAATCTTGCACATCATTAGGCCTCAGTTTTTGTTTCATCCTTCTGTGTCTAAGGGACTATACTGGGCTCGCAAGACCATAAGTCTGACCCCATCTACATTCTTTTGTGTATATGGTTTAGGAGGGTTTTTAAGAGGCAGGGTCTTACAGTAATACCAATCAGGTGAAGGACTAGGAGACCAACTATGGCTGAAATGATGGTAGTCAACCAAGGGGACCATAAGAATAGGTTTTAGAACCAATTGTCTGAAATTTCCAGTGCTTCATCTCTTTTCTTTAAACTGTTTCTCACAAGCGCCAAACTGCTTTTTATTATCCCAGAATGGTTTTCAGAGAAACAAGTTTCTCCTGGAGCCATACAAAGTCCTCCTTGTTTCAGAAAGAGACCATCTAGACCTCATCTGTTTTGTAAGACTATTTCTGTCAGAGAGTCTAGTGAAACCTCTAGTTTGGAGATTGACCTTTCTAGTTTTCCTAAATGTATATTTATTTGATGGCTGAGGGACTTAAAATTTTTAGAGCTTGTGATAAGAGCTGTAGTTCCCAAAGCAGTAGATAGTTCCCCTCATCCCCAGCCAGGAGGGGAACTAAAATGGGGGTAGCCAGTCTATGTTGATAAATCAGTGGGCCCTGGCCTTTTAATAAGTCCAGGTGTTCTTTTCCCTTTACTCCACCAAAATAGTAGGTTACATAGTTCAGAGTTATTGACAGTTTGGAGATATAGGCAAGGAGTTCGAAGTGGGACCCGGGAAGCACAATTTTTGGTGAACAGGGAGTTGTCCCACTTATAAGTTGGGTTGTGGAAGCAAGTGTCTCTTTCTGGGAGATCACCCAGGGTAATCTTGGGAGTAGTTTCCCAGGTACATCTTCCTGAGCTAGACATATTGGCAAACATCTATGTTGATCATAATTTTTCCTCTTGTATTAGGGACCTCCAACTGCCATAAGGGAAAAGGGCGATTGACCGTTCTTGCTACTTCCAGCTGAAAGAGGGGCAATGTGCAGTGGGCAAGCAGTTTGGAGTCCCTTTTTAGAAACTGAGTGGGTCAAGGAGTCCATGTTAAAAATCTGGTTCAGGAAGAACAGGATGTAAAGTCACCTGGGGTGGGCACTTCTATGAGAGAAACAAAAAGACATGAGTGCTGAAGTAAGATTAATACAAAATAGCAGTTTTAGCATATGGAACCTGTCCATGAATATCATGAAAATGACAGAAATTAATAATTGTTTACCAGGAGGTGGAAGACCTGAGAAAATGTCCCAATAAAAAGGCCTAACAAAGCCTAATAAGCCACTTTTTTAGGAAACATAAATCTTTAACATTGTCAGAATTATCAGGAATGTAGACACAACATTTAGTTAAATTAGTTAATGTCATTTGGTTTTTGTAAAAATATCTTTTTGGCATGACCTCTGTGTTCAGTAAAGATCCCTTTGTTACTTAGGGCTAGATAATTATATTAATAAACATTGATTACATCTACCTGTGTTGGAAGTTAGGAAGATCTGTAGGCCTTGAACTGACAAAAAACTTCTGGCAGTTTTTTATTGATAGTTATCAGGCATTTTTGCCTAAGAATTTTTCTTTTGTTTCCTCCAGTCTTACTTATTTTGGGGATTCTAACACTAGGGTACATTTTATGTTACATTAAAATAACTGTTGTTTCTTTTTAAATGTCCAGGAATGGCTGTGCTTTGGTTTTAACTGTTTTTGCTAGGTGTTTAAGACCAAGCTGGTCAAACTGACCTTGTTTCTGTCTATTGGTAAGAGTCAGCTGAGTTTCCTTGGAGGACATTCTTGGGGAATGTGTGAGTAGCATTTTAGCTCTGTTAGTGTCATCTGCATTAGGATGGGTCAAGGTCTTGCTTCCCTTGGAAGCATCAGGCATGTCTCCTTTTTAAATGACCCTCCTCTTTTGCAGCATGTACACTCATTGGCTTTCTGTTCTCCATTGGTCTCATTAATCTCCCTTATCGGGAGTTTATGTGGCCCGGAGTTGCAAAGCTTTTTCCCCTGTCCTGGGTTCAGGCTGACTTAGAGGGCAAGAGCCAAATATTGGTTTCTTTGGCCCTTTATTTTAACCTTAATATTTAAATTTGGCCTTAAACATCCAGCAAGTCCGTTTTACCAGTTTTAACTTTAATCTTTATAACTTTACAGTTTATTTTAATGCTGAACATCTGCCTGAAGGCAGAAGATGACACCTTAGTATCTACTGTATGATCCAATCACTGTACACCAACAAGGCAGCTTGCAGATCCAGAGAGCCCATTAGATTTTGGCTATAAAAACTCTCTCTTGCAGGTCCTCCTCTCTTGCTCTCTCCTTTTTCTCTCACTTTCCCTGTCTCTCATTTACTTCTCTCTCTCTCTCTCTCTCTCTCTCTCTCTCTCTCTCTCTCTCTCTGTCTCACTCACTTTTTTCTCTCTCTCTTGCACTTTCTCTCTCTCTTGCACTTTCTCTCTCTCTCTCTCTCTCTCTCTCTCTCTCTCTCTTTGTGTGTTAATCAGACACTGTCACAGTAAAGGTCACTTGGTTGCTCTAAGTGTACTGGTCACTTTTTTAGTTATAATGAAAATACAAAGTAAAATTAACAATAGTAAAAACATATTTAGCTTGTATATAATTTTGAACCTTGGCTGAGTTATACATTGTATTTTTTATTTGAGATCACAGTAATCTTTTTAATAAATTAATCTTTGAATATAACTTTAAATTAACTGAAGTCTGGCCTACTTTGAAGTTATTTTGACATGCTGTAAGGTGGGAGGCAGAGCCTTATCTCAGGTAAGGCAGGGCACTTCACAATCTTAAGTAAAGTGTTTTAGTTCTAAAGCTGATCTTTGTCTCTCTTTTTAGATATCATTTTATAAAGTTTACATATATTGTTTTTTACTCTGTATAAATTTTAGCTAGCACAATATGACATATATTTGAAACATTAATTAAGGAAAGGCTGAGAGCCCTTAACATTTTTTTTTCTATGTGGAAAAGTGGCAAAATGTTTTATAATATTAATTTTTAAACAGATCAGGATTTTATTATCTTTTAAAATATCTTTACATTTTTATATCTTAGTGTAAAAGTTAACATAAGTTTTGGTTATAAAACATCAAATAATATAAATAAATGCCCAATAAAATCTATTAAATTACCATTACAGACAATTTTAGTTTGGAGAATACTCACTTGATAAAATGTTTCTTTAAACCTTTTACCTTAAAGACTTGTATACCTGAAAGATATGAACACATTTAATCTGTAAAGAAGAGTAATGTACCACACTTTTATTGATGTTTTTTATATTAACCAAGGTTAGCTTTTAAAGGAAAATCTAGACTCTGCAATGTAGGGCAATACTTTAAAATAACAGTTTCTGTTTAGCCACAGATGTAAAAACCTTAGTTTCTCCAAGATTACTTGTTCTAGGGGATCAAACTTAACAGACATAATGTAATTAATATTTTTAGAAGTTTTTGTCAATTTAACATATAAATATATCAGTACATTATTATTTGTCCTTAGGGAACAACCTTGAATAGTTTTAACTATTTGTGTTACATATATAACCAACTTAGTTACATATAAATATTTTAATATTTGTCTTTTATTTATACACCTTTATATTACTTAATTAGACCCTTTTGTTGTTTACTTAGATGTATTATAATTATACTTTATCACATAAAGACTTTTTACCTGGAAACGTTTTTTTAATTAAATATATTTTTATATTTAGAACTTTTAATAATTTTTAACCCATTGATCCTTTTTTTAACCTTGAAATAACCCTTATAAATTTCTGAATTTAGATAAATTAATTTCTTTTAATAATATGAAATTTTTGTTACTTACAGTACTTTAAGTAAAATACAGTTGAAACTTTTTGACTTCTTGTATGTAGAATTATATTGTTGGGACTTTGTAATTTAGAGTAACCTTGTTTTTATAATAACACAAAATAATTTTAAATTTCTTTTTTAGTTTACTAATTTATGAAAACACCAACATTGTTTAAATATTTTACCTTATGGAATTTAAGGAGTTAAAAGTACTTGATATTATATTTAACAGTATTTTAACTTTGTACCAATTAGATGTCTCTAATAAACAAATCCATGATTAATTTCATATATGTTTAGATGAAATTTGCATATCTTTTTTTAAAAACAAGGTATCACACAAGTGTATTGAATATTATTAGTAATCTTTTGTTGTTGTTGTTGTTGAATAAAAATCCTAGAGACAATGGATATCAGACACATTATAGACATTAACATTTTAACAGCTGTTTAACCATCTGGAAACAAAGCTGTGTATTAGTAACTTTAAAGATATTTGTACTTTTATCTATTTCCCCAATTTAAATTGAACCTTTTAAATTATATTAACCAAAAGTATTTGGATCCATTTTTTTAAATTTTAATTTATGAGCTCATATGTCAATTTTTTGTACCAAATATATGTAGACTTGGCAATACATATAGACAGTACATTGGTGCACCCACACAAAACAAACAGACAAACAAAAGCCTTGTAGCTTATTTTTAAAAACCTATTAGATTGAGAGTTAACCCTTGTAAATTGGCCTTAGAATAAAGCAGAGTGTAATCAGAAAAACATATTAACTTAGGCATATTGGATCAAAATTATGAGTTTAACAAATATAGAATTTTAAAAGTTTTCTGACCTTTTTCCTGAGGTGGTCCTGTTCATGAAAGCTGAAAAGAGTTGAGGGAACATAGACAAATGAAGGGGGTTTATTTTTCCCTGGAGGAACTTCCCAAAGACACAGCTTTATTGGTTTCCTTGGGAGAGTCCCTCGGGTTGGGGTCCTATTTTAAACTGGTTTTTCCGGTTTCTTGGATAGCCGCCACCAACTTACTTAGCCTGACATTGAAAAATCTTTAGACCATTTTTTAATAGTTGGGAGTTATTCATGCTTGTAAATACTGAGAGACAAAAGCCAAATTTCCTAGACAAAATTATGCTTTTTGTTATACACTTTAGGAATAATAATTTTATAAAACACTTTAGTTTTAATCTGTCCTCTATAGGAACTGACATGATTTACCCAGTTGGCCATCTGGCCCAGTTCCTAAATGAAGATAATCTCTAGAATGCCTTTTTCTTTTTACCTTTACCTTTTACTTTTGATAATTTTTTTTGTCCTGTTGGCAGCACTTTACATTTTAATGCAAGCTGTAGTGAGCACAGTTAAACCATTTTAACCATTGTTTTTCCATTACAAACAAACTGAGGTAGAAATTAACACAGAACACAAAGGGAACAAACAAAAACAAACCAACAGACAAAGTCCTGAAAAGTGTTAAGAAAACAAGTTAAAGGGGTCCAGGTAGAGATCTCTGTAGCACTTCCTTGTCTCTGATGTCGGTGGAGCGAAGGAGTCCTGGTGAAAGAAGAGTGGTTATGAGAACAAGAAAAGGGCCCCACGCACAACACTCAGACAGATAAACACAAGACAAATGGCTGGGGAACAGACACAGGACAAATGACAAACAGCAAGAAGATGCTGGAGAAACGACAAATAGCAGGGCAGACACAGGACAAGCAAAAATCACTGAGATCACCTAGAGAGACCTCTAATGGGGCAGAGACCCCGCAAACAGAACAAACAGCCAGTGAACTGACACTGGACAAATGACCAACAGCAGAAGACACTGGAGAAATGACAAACAGCAGAACAGACACAGGACAAGCAACAATCGCTGAGGTCACACAGGGAGGCCTCCAGTGGGACAGAGACCACATCTCATCCTGCCGCCAGACAGATGAGGCCTCCCAGGGAGGCCTCCAGTGGGCCCCAGATACAAACAGATGAGGTCTCACAGAGAGACCTCCAGGGAGACAGTGACAACATCTTGTCCTGTCGCGGGGAAGGTGTAAGCGACTGTGTCCAGTCTGACCTTTTTCCCCAGAAGAGTCCACTCACCAGAACTGACAGCCTGCAGGAGGCTTTTCAGAGCATCCTAGGATGGATTGGAGTTGTCCTTGGAGTGAGGCTGAGGAATGTCTCTCAGGAGCTCCCCTCTACTCCGGGGCCGAGGTCCAAAGGCCCGTTGTTGGAGGCAAATTTGGCGTGAGGGTAGGGAAGAAATGGATCCAGGGTGAGCCCCCAAATGTTATAGTTAAAGCTTGTCCCAGGGTTTCATAAACTGACTTCCAGACCACTCACGTATAATTGAATCAAGCCTTTATTGAAGCACACCGGTGGCGGCTGACCAGAACATAAAGCTGTTCCCCTGATCAGCCCCGAACAATTGTAAGGGCACTTCTTATAAGCCTGAAAACTACAAAAGGGATGTTCAGGGAGTCTAGCCAATGCAAGCAAGCCAGGTTACAGAAGCGGGACAGTGAAGTCAAGCAGAGGGAAGCCTAACCAATCACAGTTAGCCCAGTCACACCAGTTACAGAAACAGAGCCCCGTTACCCTAGTTACAGAAACAATACCCCATTGGGTAGTTCCGTGTTCTTAAAGGTTTCTATAGCAAAAGGAAAAGAACATCTTGCTCCAGTCATGACTCTTCTACTTGGCATGGTTGTTTTACAGGATGAAGTCATAAAACAAAATGGAGTCACATTCGCTCCTACTATCACACACCCAGTTTATATGATGTTTTTAAGGGTGTTTTTATAGCAAACAGTCCTGGAAGATAGAGGTGGTATCTTCTAAGACATTGCCCAATATAAGAGATAAAAGGATGAGACAGGAGGATCTCAAATATGAGGTAAGCCTCAGCAACTTCACAAGATCCTGTCTTAAAATAAAATATAAGAAAGGACTGGGGAGGGGCTCGGGTTGTGGATCAGTAGTAGAGCACTTGCCTTGCACATGTGGGGCACTGGGTTTGATCCTCAGTATCACACAAATAAATAAAATAAAGGTACTGTGTCTATCTACAACTAAAAAAAAGAAAAAGAAAAAGAAAGGGCTGGGATGTGGCTTAGTGGTTAAGCATCCCTGTGTTCAATCTCTGGTATTAAAAAAAAAAAAAGGATAAAATCTCAGGCACTTCACAGTTCTTGACAGTTATGCCATCATCTATGTTCACTCCAAAGGGACCGGAAAGGGCTGGGGTTGTGACTCAGTGGTAGACTGCTGGCCTAGCATGTGTGAGTCCCTGGATTTGATCCTTAGCACCACATAAAAATAAATAAAACAAAGGTATTGTGTCCAACTACAACTAAAAAATAAATATCTTTTTTTAAAAAAAAGGGAGACAGGGGAATTGAATGTACCCTATTCATTCCTGTGTGGCCAAAAGCGCAAGTGACCTTTGAAGGGCTCCCCAATATTCTATGCAGAACCTTGTCCAATTCAAAGCCCTGCTAGGTAAGACCACTCACATGCCCTGTGTTCTCAAGAAGATTCCAGGCCCCAAGGCTCTGATTGCCTTGAATACCTTTGTTGTTCACAAGATCTCTCTTGGTGTGAATCTCAAACAACTTCTACCTAATCACTCTATGAAAAGTTCAGAACACTGATTTTGGGTCACGTTACACATTTATCAGAGTTGCTTGGGGTAACAGACAGACTGCTTGAGAAGAGCACAGGGTTTCTGATATTGGAGGTCATGGGCTCAGAGAGCATTATAATGAAGCTGGAGGCTGGATGCCCTGGCACACGCCTATAATCCCAGCAGCTCAGGAGGCTGAGACAGGAGGATATGAGTTCAAAGCCAGTTTCAGCAATTTAGCTAAGCCCTAAGCAACTGGGTGAGACCCTCTCTCTAAATAAAATACAAAAAAGGGCTGGGGATGTGGCTCAGGGGTGAGTGCCCCTCAGTTCAATCCCTGGTAATAATAATAATGATGATGATAATAATAATATGAAGCTGGAGATCATCTGGTATTTTACAAATTAAAAAAAAAGGGGGGGAGGAAAAACACCGAGGTGACTTTCAAGTGTTGTTCTTACCAGAGGCAAAGGTACCCAGTGAGTTAGTGGGCCCATGTGTCCTAGTAGACCCTAATGTCCTGACTTCCTGGCTACTATCTTTGTTGTAGGGCCCTTTTGGCTCTTGGCAGAAATTACTCTTATCATCTTGACCCACAGGACTGTTCCTGAGAATCACAACATGATTTATGTGCCCAAAACAATGTCACACACAGGTTAGTGGTAAGGGAAGAAAGACAGGGACATTTTCTTTATTTTTTCTTTTTTGGGTACCAGGGATTGAACTCAGGGGCACTCAACCACTGGTCCGCATCCCCAGCCCTTTTTTGTATTTTATTTAGAAACAGAGTCTCATTGAGTTGCTTAGGCCTCAGCTTTTGCTGAGGCTGGCTTTGAACTCACAATCCTCATGCCTCAGTTTCCCAAGCTGGTGGGATTACAGGTGTGTGCCACTGCACCTGGCCCTCAGGGATGTTTTCTTTTCATTGTCTTTTTTCCTTTTTTTTTTTTTTTTTTTGTTACCAGGAATTGAACTCAAGATCACTTAACCACTGAGCCACATCCCCAGTCTTTTTTATGTTTTATTTTGAGACAGGGTCCTGCTAAGTCCTTAGAGCCTCATGAAATTGCTGAGGCTGGCCTTGAACTTGAGATCCTCTTGCCTCAGCTGTCCAAGTTGCTGGAATTACAAGTGTGTGACATTGCACTCAGCCATGGCTATTTAATATCTGGTTATTTTAAGGACTGTGGAAGTGTGCCAGGCAGAGTGCTCACTCACCAGCAAAATTCTATAATGATGCTCTGATCCAAGCTGAAGCCTGGGAAATGAGCATCCTTATCATTCCTGGGACTGATCAACAACAGTTCCTGTATGTCCTGTCTATCTGCCAATTCTGTCCACCAGGCTGGAAACTGATGACTTTGGAGAAAGGAGGAATGACAGAGGTGGTAACTTCCTTACAGGACTAGGCCTCCATAGAGCATCCTCACTGGCTAGATGCCTGTGGGTCATGATCAAGGTAGACTGCCAATGGGGCTTCTTTCTTTCTTTCTTTCTTTCTTTCTTTCTTTCTTTCTTTCTTTCTTTCCTTCTTTCTTTCTTTCTTTCCTTATTTGTTTCTTTCTTTCTCAAAATGCTAATGGTAAAAATGTTTGGAATATGCTCAGCTTTAGAATGGGACATGAGTTAGTAGCTCACTGACTCATTCCCTGGCTGTCTGGGTCTCTTTATAGAAACCAAATATTCCACCTCTAGCAATTAGAGAAATGCAAATTAAAACTACACTGGGATTCCATCTCAGTCCAGTCAGAATGGCAATTATCAAGAATACAAGTCACAATAAATGTTGGCAAGGATCTGGGGGATAATGTACACTCATACATTGCTGGTAGAACTACAAATTGGTGCAACCTCTGTGGAAAGCAGTATGGAGATTCCTAAGAAAACTTGGAATGGAACCACCATTTGACCTAGATATCCCATTCCATGGTTTATACACAAAGGACTTAAAATCAGCACACTACACTGACACAGCCACATCAATGTTTATAGCAGCTCAATTAACAATACCTAAGCTATGGAAATTAACCTAGATACCCTTAAACAGATGAATGGATAAAGAAAATGTGGTATATATATATACAACGGGGTACTACTCAGCCATAAAAAGATGACTTTATGACTTTGCCACTAAATGGATGAATCTGGACACTATCATGTTAAGTGGAATAAGCCCATCTCAGAGAACCAAAGGTCAGATGTTGTCTTTGATATGTGGATGCTAACTTACAACAAGGGTGGAAGGGAAAATGGAAGTTCAGTGGATTAGACAAAGTAGAATAAAGGGAAGGGAGGGGAATGGGAATAGGAAAGATAAAAGAATGAATCAGACATCACTTTCCTATACTTATGTATGAATACATGACAAATGTGACCCATATCATGTACAATCTCAAGTATGGGATCCTAATTAGAGTAAGCTATACTCCATGTATGTATAATATGTGAAAATACACTCTACTATCATGTCTATCTACAAAGAACAAATAAAAAGAAAAAAAGAAAAGCAAATATTCAGGCTTTGGAGGCCCAGCCTTCTTGGGTGAAAAATTCTCCATGAATCTGTATGGAATTTCTTGCCTCACTGGCAGACTAAAACTTGAAAGTTTCCCACATCTATTAAAGAGGAGAGAGATCTCCTTCACACCACCTACCTGAGTTGCTTGGATGTTCACATTTCCTTCTCTGAAGAGCTTCCAGACAACAGCCTTGTCTTCATCCGTCTCCGCAGAAGCCAAGGGAGTGATCATCACGGCAGTATAGCCAGCTTTGTTCTGGTGGTCGACATTGCAGACCCCTGCAAGATAAGCAACGGGGCCTGGAATAGCCCCAAGGGGCCAGAAGGCAGCCTCCACTTTAGCCTGGTCAACAAGACGCTGCTTGCTGGTTAATAATCCAAGGAATAGAGCCACGCCATCCACAGCAGGAGTCACTAGTTTACAATTCTGGTAGCATTTAAAGCTAGCTACCTTTCTTTAACAAGTTTTCTGAGGATACCCAGGAAGGGAGGTCCACAGGAGGCCAGAGATGGCCAAAGGGTCAATGACCATGACTTTACTTCCTAAACCTGAGCATATGACATTATTCTCATTTTACAGATGAGGACTCTGAGAGGCTAAGAAGATGATATAAACTATTCATGTGCAGGTGAAGCAGAACCAGGGCTCAGGATTGTCTGGGTCCTGAGCCCATCCGTCACCAGCCACATGTACCCACAGCTCTGCACTACAGGTCTCACTCTCACTACCTCATGTCTGTATGTAACTGAAGCTGGTGGCTGGGCATGTAAGTCCTTTAGGATAAACATAGAAAATCTTCCGGAAATGACCATCTCACTTGAAAAACGGGGAGATAAAAACACCATAACTTTTGAATAAAACAAGAATCAACCTTTCACAACATAATGTAAAACTGTGCAAAAAATTCTCACACATGCACACACACACTTTAAATTTTCTGTTTTTTGGTTTGTTTTTTTTTAATATATTTCTGTTTTTGAAAAAGGGTCTTGCCAAGTTGTCCAAGCTGGAATTGAACTTGTGATCCTCTTGTCTCTGCCTCTCCAGTCACTGGGATTACAGGTGGGTGCTACTGTACTCAGCTAAAACTGGTATACTTTTTGAGATGAAGTAGTAAAGAAGAAATGAAAAGAAATTCTTGGTTTGTGGTCCTGAGGCTATCCAAAGGAGAGGTAATGATTGTGAGACACAGATGTCTCTTATATAAATGATGTCACTTCTCCAGGGTAGTATTGTGTGCAAAACCAAATTGTCCCTGTGCAGTTGCTCATTGGAAAAGCCTAGGTGGCTCTTTTGAGCAAAATAACAAAATTATCTCAGTAGATCAAGACAGTCTTTCTTAGGCTGCCCTCCTCTGTGGAAAAGAGTGAACTACAGAACCTACCTCATAGGTTTATTGTGGAATTTATAGTTAATGTATTTATTTTTTTTTTAATTTTTTAATTTTTAATTTTTTTTAGAGAGAGAGAGAGAGAGAGAGAGAGAGAGAGAGAGAATTTTTTTTTTAATATTCATTTTTTAGTTTTCGGCGGACACAACATCTTTGTTTGTATGTGGTGCTGAGGATCCAACCCGGGCCGCACGCATGCCAGGCGAGCATGCTACCACTTGAGCCACATCCCCAGCCCCTAGTTAATGTATTTAAATCTCTTAGAGCATGCCTAACACATGGTAAAAGCTTAGTGTTAACAATGATCATTCAGAATAGTATTCTTGTAGATTAGGAATTCATCAGAAGAAATCTAATTTATGGAACAATGTCAATTAGGGCTACTTACAGGTTCTGTGCAAGGAGAGAACCCAGCATTTGTTTGATATTCCCTCTGCTCCACCCCAAGCATTTTTCAGAAGTGTGCCATTGTTATACCTGAGTGCCAGTGGATCTGCAAACCTTGGTGTGGCTGACTCATTAGCAGTTTTTCCTCTCAAGTCCCTCTGACCATGGCTGTGATTGAGTGGGTTACAAACCTTGAATGATAACCCAGTGCACCACCTCAGAAGCCTGTCCTGATTAGGAGTGAAGGTGGACACTGCTGTGTTAACAATTTTTGTTTTTACCCCTACTTTTAGTTTGCTTTAAGATGTGTGAATAGGCCTCAGGTTACCAGCGCTCTTATCTCTTCAGAAACATGTTGTGCCCCACCCTGGAGTGAGGTCCTCACCAGGGTCCCAGAAAAGGGCTGAGGATCCACATTCATGCCACATGCTTCTGAAAGGCTCTCCATTGAGCATGCTCTACCTCAACAAGCTTGCACCACTAGGGACCCAGCTTATGGAGGTATACTCTGTGGTTCTATTCTCAATAACAATGAGTCACAGCCGGGCTGGTGGTGCACACCTGTAATCCCAGCAGCTTGGGAGGCTGAGGCAGGAGGCCCGAGAGTTCAAAGCCAGTTTCAGCAAAAATGAGGTGCTAAGCAACTCAATGAGACCCTGTATTTTAAATAAAATACAAAATAGGGCTGGGGATGTGGCTCAGTAGTTGAGGGTCCCTCAGTTCAATCCCAGGTAATAATAATAAGAAGAAGAAGAAGGAGGAGGAGGAGGAGGAGGAGGAGGAGGAGGAGAAGTCACTTTCTGTACAGCACTTTACAGTTTGTAATGTGCTTTTCATATGCTTCACAATGGCCTCTGAAGGGAGCCCAGGTTTGAGAGTGTGACAGATCTATCATTCTCAACACCCTTTCTACTGATGAGAGAAAGTAATGGCATTTCGGGCCTGTTCTCCACAACCCTTTGCACCCTCTATGCTAGTACATCAAAGGGGAAGCTTCCAAACCACCATAAAGTTGATGAGTATTGGCTGGATGTCTAATCAATGGTAGCAGAAATTTACAGCACCCAAATCTTAGGGTGTCTGCTCGCTGTCCTGGCCTAGCCCACCTAGAACTCCTAATAGGCTACAAGTCTGTGAGTTACTTAAGACAGGGCTCCATGTTACTGGTCTTTGGATTCTTCACACACATATTAGGTGCTCTCAAAGCCTCAGAGTGTCCCTGTAAACTACTTGAGGGTAGTAGAAAAAGTCTAGATTGGGAGAGTGACAGATCTTGGTTTGAATTCTGGCTTTGTGACAGATTCTGGGATCTCAACCAAATTTACTGACATCTCTGGGCCTCAGTTTCCTCACTTGGAAAATGCAATTAATATCTGTTTCACAGTCTCCACAAGGATTGTATATGTGAACATGCATGTCATACCTAAACCAGTTTCTGGGATGGGGAAGACACTCAAAAGACTCTAGCTACTGTTCTTCATGTTCTCAATTGAAGGCCCAGAATACTGGAAATGGAAAGTGGAATACAGAGGCATGCTCCACTGAACCATGTGCCTCCCTCAACTGAGCTACCATGTTGATGGTACCCAGGAATCCATGAATAACTGAAATCAATAACATTGACTCAATCTTAGAACTGGAATTTAATTGCTGGGGATTGAATCCAGGATCTTGTGCATCTGAGGCAAGCACTCTACCAACTGAGCTATATCCCCAGCCCCAATGGAATTTAATTTCTTGATGATGTGAGAATTAGATAGAAGTTTAGGCTATTTTTACATATGTCACCTTTCTGGTTTGGAAGAGCCTCAAGGCTGCTTAAAAGAACAGTGGAGAACTGGAAGTACACTGGAGTTTAACTGAACTCCACAAAGTTAAAAAGGGCCATGGGCTAGTGATGGGAGGAAGAGCTGCTTCAATTAGGACATGGGTTCTTAACCTCAGCTGCACATTAGAACACTTGGGGTGGGGGTTAGCATTCCCAGTAGGTGGACTGTCTCCCAGACTAATTAAACCTGAGTCTTCAGGATGGAGATCAGGATTATTTATGCTCCTGCACCCCAGGAGGGGCTCAGTCTAAGCAGGGGAAGCAAATGCAGGGGGCTTGAAATGGGCCTGAGCTCAGCATGTTGGAGAGAGGCAAGGCAGGAGCTGGGGTGGATGAGAAGGCTGAACCATGATCTAGTTCCTCCAGGTTTGGGCACAGAGAGGGACTGTGAAGGGCATTTAAGCTGGGCAGCAGCATGACCTGCATTAGGCTTGGAGATTAGGCTGATCCTCCTCCTCTGCATGTGAACTGGTGAAAGCACAAAACATGGTTCTTCATGGGCCAGAGGGTCACACACCAGAGGTAGTGGGAGCAGCAGCCCACCTGACAACCTGTTTCATCATTTCTGATGTTTCCCTTACAGAAACTACAACAATGATGCCACCCCCGTTTGCGACTAGTGTTTGGTGGGACTTAAGTTTGCAGGATCCCCACTTTTTCTGGGCAGTCTTCTGGACACACTGCCTGCTGGGCTGGACCCCTCCTTGGGCCTCCACAGCATCCTGTGCTTCGTTGACTAATACAACTGGTCTTGGCACATCAGCATTTCTCCCTTGTTTCTTTCTATTTCTTTTTTATTGGTTGTTCAAAACATTACAAAGCTCATGACATATCATCTTTCATACATTTGACTCAAGTGGGTTCTCCCTTGTTTCTTGACATATCTGCAAGCTAAAGGTAGGGACCTTGATCTATTTGACTTTTTTTTTTTAATACCCACCACCTAGCATATTGTTGGCATTTAATAAATGCTGAATGAGTGATTTAGAAAATACAGTCATGTGCTTAGTGACATCATAGATGTTTTGACTTTTGTAAGTACTTTGTGGTGTCCCATAGTGACAAAAATTATCTAATGCTGTATTTCTTAGAGGTATCCCTGGTTGTTAGGTGACATGTGACTGTAATTTTCCTTCTTTCTTTTTGGCACTGGGGAATGAACCCCAGGGCATTTTACCACTGAGCTACATCCCGGGTCCTTTTAAAAAAATCTTTTCTTTTAAGACAGGGTCTCACTAAGAAGCGGAGGCTGGCCTCAAAATTGCAATCCTCATGCCTCAGCCTCATGAGTTGTTGGGATTAGAGGCATGTGCCACTGTGCCCAGCTGCATGACTATATTCTAAATCCAATGTTTAAGTCCCTAGACTACAGAAGGCTTGGTTCATGTTCTTTATCAATAGACTGGTTGTTTCCCTTCATTGCCCAAAACTTGGGTTTGGTTTGCAGTAATTAAAGGAGAAACATTTTAAACACATACATTTCTACTAGTTTCAGTGTCATGGTTTGGGTTAAAGACCTTCCTCAAAGGGTCCATGTTCCCCCAAACTCCCAGAAACCACCCAGAGTCCTGGCCCTGGGGGAGACTAAAGCCAAGTATATTAAAAGCAGAGGTTCCAACAAGCCAGCACATCTGGCAAAGAGCCAAACATGTGCAAACCCGACATGGAGTTTTAAAGGACCTTGGAGATTAATTCCCTTGCAGAAGAACAAAAGCCATATGCTTCCCCCTAGAAAAGAGAGCACCGAGGACAACAGCAGGAGAGGTAGCAGGGAAGGCAGTCGGAGCTTCACAAGCAATGCTTACCCACCGTTAACCCCAACAAACTGAAGGTTCTTTTTGGTCCCATTACCTCCTGCATGGAAGCCATAGTCTTTCTTTTTCATTATGGATTTAAGGCTGGTCGGCAGGGAGCTCTCTAGGTAGATACAACATCACAGGTTAGAAAGATCTTGGAGTAGCAAAAGCAGGGCTTTTCCTTTAAGGGGATACAGGTTACAGGTGTGTGAAAAGGTGGACAGGGACAGAAACCAGATAATTCAAATCAAATGTTTTGGGGACTTTGGGCAGAAGTCTGGCTTTCTGATGACTGTCAATAGAATGGTTCCTGTTAATGATGCCCCTCTCTATGTGGATGAGTAGAGAGACTGGAACATTCTCGCAGGGAACCACATGCACATGTCATTGTTGTCCCTATCTTATGGTTAGGAAATCTGAGACTCAGGCTTCCTTGGGGAATGGCAGAGCAGGAATAGAACTGAGGTCTGTGGACTCATGGTCCAGTACCCTTCTCCATTCAAGGGCACCTCAGAAGTCCTTTCTAGTTCATGTGCACATTGACATTTGTGATGTGGGGGTAGTGATGACACTGGAGACATGTGAGCAAGAGCACAACCTCATGCTCTGCTCAGTGGTATGGGAGGCATTTCCCAAGGGACAAGATGGGAACTAGCACCGAAATGAGAAGGCAGCCAATCTGTGACCTGTGGCAGGAAGCAGACTTGCATGCTGCCCACTGAGCCAAGCATGGTAATGGCTCCACTCTCCTCAACAGTGAAGAGTGTGAGATCGGTCAGAAGAGGAGGAGCTGCTCTGGCCCATGTGAGCCCCTGCCCCCATGCATGCACACAGAAAATACTCAGTGAACAATTCCCAATCTCTATATAATGCTCATCCAAAACCAGGCTAGAGAAAACCTCTGATGTGAGAGGGACAGAAAGCATTTTTCCTGTTCCAGCACGAATGCTGAAGCCCAGGAAACCGGCAGGGAGTCTGGGGGGAGCACCAAAGGCAGGACCACCCTTGGCCAAGTCTTTGCCTTTGTGTGATGAAATGAGAACAGCGCCCCCTCTGGGTAGACCCAGTGCTGCAGGCACATGGTTTGGCAAAGGGAGCGTGGGCTGGATTTCAGCTGTTATTTGCCCTCCCTGGCTGGCATCTTTGTGGCTGACACTATCTGTACAGCTGTATGTGGTGGCCCTGCAGTCAGCCTTACACCTACACAAGGAGAGTAGAGGTGTGGCCCCCATGCTTACACAGGTCAGTTTTTATTCCACTAGGCTCCTGGAGGTGCTAAAATCTTTTTAGAAATCTACTCATGTAACCAAAACCCCCTTTCCCTTGGATTTGTCATATAAAGGAGAAAAGGTTCCCTGCCTTGGGCACCAGTATTTACCGGTTGGAGGGGAGGAGGGCAGGGCTGTAGGCTCCTGTGGGGGAGCCTGGGCTGAGTAGGCAGACAGCAGCTGGTTGAAGGAGCTGAGCAGCTGGCTCTGGATGCTGCTGAGCTTGGAGGCAGGCTGCTTGATGGCGCTGGCCAGCTCCGAGTACCCATGCTCCAGGCAGCTCCACTGCTCCTGCAGGAGCTCCTGGATCTTTTTCACATATTGCCCAATGGTGGCATCTGTTGGAGAGCTTGGTGGCCTTCCCGGGTGCTCCTTCCCTGGGAGCTCCTCCCTGGACCCTGGGGCAGCCTCTCTGTCACTGCTCCGTGAAGAACCTTGTGCTGCCCTGGCCAGGCTCTCGCCTCCTGCCTGCAGGCCTCCCTCGTGCTCAGAGCCTGCTTCTTCAATCCTGAGTTCAGTGGGGAGGCAGCAATGTAAAGCGGAGGCAAGGACCTTCTCAGGTCCCTGTGGCAGTGAGAGCTGGGGCGGTAGCACAGGCTCTGCCAGTCTCTGACCCGCTCGAGTGTGACCATTTTGCCCCCATAGGAAGCCATTCTCCTCTCCCCTGGCCCCCCAGCTTTCAGAGTCTGTGATGCTCAGAAGGTTGACCCCGATGCTCCTGTCACATGACTCCCCTGGGAAGAGCCCACGGGGAGGGTCAGTGTTCACCATGGCATCAGTCTGGCCCTGGGCATCTCTGGAAGTCTCTTGGCTAAGCTTTTCTTCCAATTGGGCTACAGTGCACTCCAGCTCTCGAATCCTCTGTTCCCGCGTCTTGATTTCCTCTTCCTGCTGCTGAAGGGCAGCTCGGACCTGGGTCAGTTCCTTGGTTCTGCCAGACAATTCACCCTCAAGGGCTGAGACCCGCTCCTTCAGGTTGGAGATGCTGTTGGGGTCCACCAGGGCAAGGCCCAGGCTTTCCTCAGTTACCCGGATGCCGATGCTTCTCACATCCAACTCTATGGGCGGCGGGGGTGGGATCTCACTGATGTTGAGCTCGATTTCCTCCAGAGGGAGCTCATTCTCAGGGATGGGAGATGGCAGAGGTGGGGGGCTGGGTGTTGAGGAGCCAGGAGTGAGAATGCTCTCTGCTTCTCTGGTTTGGGGTTCGCCTTCCACATCCTCTAGGAGTGCGTTCTGGAATGCGGGAGGAGGCCCTGGGAGAAACAGGTGATTTGAAGCCTTCACTTCCCCCACTGCAGGCTCAGCCCCCTCCTGGACTAGCTCTGGGAGCCCTGCCACCAGGTCTCCCAAATCGTTGATTGTCAGTTGGGCGACATTCGAGGGCTGGAGCTGTGAAAACCTGCAAATCCTTCCGCTGGGCCAAAGGTGCCATCCCAGATGCTGCTGTCCCCCTGCAGAGGAGGGAAGGCAGGAGGTGCTGGAAGACCCGCGCTTAGGTTTGGCTCCTCCGAGGCCCTGTTTTGCGGCCGCGTGGCTGGCATGCTGGAGCTCTCAAAAGCTGGGGCCGTCCACTCCCAGAAGTGAGCTCGGCTTCCTCTGGAGCAGCAGCCTCCAGCTGCCTGGAGGCCTCCACCAATAGGGCCTTCCTATGATAGCTCACCTGGCTCCCGCTGGCTGAGGCGTGGGGAGGATCATGGCAGTGATTGGGTTTGCTCCAGTGTCCTGGGTGACACCTTCCTTGGAACTGCTGGAGACCAGTTTTCCTCGGGGATAGTAACATGGGGGTGAGCCCCATTGTCAGGAAGGCTGAAATTTCAGGGCAACGTGCTAAAATTTGCTCTGTGGATAGCAATTCTTTAGATGGTGTTCCCTTTCTCAATGTCATCTACATACTCGAGGAAGTCCAGGTCCAAGTGAAAGCCATATGGGGTTTCCACAGAGTATAGGTGGCTCCTTGGAGGGTCTTTCTCTTCATCCCCCAGAGAGAACTGGTCTTTGGCTGAGAGGAAGAAGAAGAAGGAGGAGGAGGAGGAGAAGGGGGGAGAGGGAGAGGGGGAGGGGTGGAGGAGGGGGCAGTCGGGAGGGGGGAGGGGAGTGGGAGGAGGGGGGAGGAGGGGAGGAGGGGGAGGGGAGGGGGAGAAGAAAAGTTAACAAAATTTACAGGGTGATGAAACTTAATATCTGTGATTTCAACTTGACAATGTCACGTGAGATTTCTCCCAAATATTCTAGCGTCTAAATTGTGCTGAGAAGCTCACAGTCCTTTTGGCTGTACTGGGAAACCATCTTATTAAAGCAATGTGTATTTAGCCAGTGCCTGCAAGGGAACAGGTAGAGGGAATGATTTCTAATTTGCAGTATGTCATCTCAGATGATGTGGAATCTGCCTGAAGACCAGCGAAACAAATTATCTCACAACTTTTTTCCCGGTTGGAGTCATGTAACCATTGAAATGAAGTGACCAGGAACTGGCACATCAGGGGGACTAATTGGCAATTATGGATATGGAAGGTTTTGAAGGATGAGATACACAATTTGCTCAGCATAAAAAAGAAACTTGCATTACTCAAATAAGAATTAGTAAATCTTGTTACACCGGAGATATCAATGAGTTATGCCCTCTACATTATTGAAGCTTCCTCCCATGCCTGAGCATCCAGTTACATGAAGATCAGAGAGAACTGGAACAAGTGAGCCTGCATAGCTAATGCTCTTTCCCCCTGAAAACTGCTTAGTGCTTAACAGTGATCATGCGTAGCTGAATTCCACTTTCAAACACCATGCCCTGTAACGGAATACATTTTTTGTAGGTTGGAAAAAAGGCACGAAGGGAGAAGGGCCAATAAATGTCAAAAGGAACACAGGCTGATATTCTCCAAGAGACATGGACCCTGTGGACCCTTTGGCTTTTAAGGCAGCCTGAACTATGGGAGACACCATGGGAAACTTTGCACCAAGGTGCCATTGGGCTCCATGCAACATCGACCTACTGGCCCCCACAGAGGCCTCTAAGAACAAGTCAGTCCTTCAAGTGTTGGAGTCCCTAGGGACTTCTCTCCAGGCATCCTCTTCTTCAGGTCAGAAGAAGACCAGGTTCTTCCAGCATTCCTCATGTGGTACTATTACCTCTGACATTCTGCTGAGCATACTCTGAAAAAGCTGAGCTCAGAAGAGGTTCAAAAAACAGATTCCAGAGCTCCATCTATTTCTCTGCTCCTAGTCTTGCTGCATCTCATCATCTGTAAAGTGGGAAAAATAATATGTAATGTAGCATTATTATAAGGCCTAATTAATGAATAATGAATATTAGGTGCCTGACACAATGCCTAGCACATAATAAACACCTGATACCTGCTCAGTAGTGATTATCTTTGTGGAAGACCAAAATATCGAGAACTGAGGCCCCAGGATAGAAATCAACTTGTGTGATTCACTGTTGCATATTCTGAGTCTACAAGTTCTTTGTGACCGATTCCTTAGCTCTAAAGGGAGGGGGGCCCTGGGTGGAAAAAGTAGCATAGCAACAAAGCAGCAGTAATTCAATTCACTTCCCTCAGCCATGATTTATTCAGCTCCCATGGGTCAGTTGATAAGCTAGGTCTCAACAGCATAAGGATGAGTCAGGTATAGCTGCCCTGCCCTCCAAGGATTGATGTGATCCAGTAGGAGCACTGCCACACATACAGTACAGCAGGGTAAGGGGTGCCAAATCAGGCTCAAGGTACAGTCTTCCCTGACTTATTTTTCCAGTTTCTCTAAAAATGTTTTTCTTAAACTTGGAAGCTAATTTTGCCTTGGTAAGAGAGAGTAGAAATCACAAAAGTGACATAGGACTGGCTGTTAAATGAACAAACAGGAATTTATCAGGAGAATAGGAGGGTGAAAGATATTCTACCAGTTATCTCCAGATGGTACCATCAATTCCTACCTTCTTTAGACAAGAAAGCAAATTCCACATTGAGAGGTGGAGTCTGTTTCTCCATGTCTTTGGATCTGGGCTGATCTGTGACTGCTTTGACCAAAAGAATATGGCAGAAATGATGCTGAGAGAATTCTATGCTGGGTCTCTTAGGACGCCCAGTTGGTGGGAAGTTGGCTGCCTTATAAGTCCAACTTCATTTAGGCTGCTGAATGGTGAGGAAGCCCACAGAGGGAGACGGGTCCTGCAGAGAAAGGAAGAGTGATGTCTCACCAGCCCCCAATGATTCTAGCCATCCTAGCCCAGGTGTTAGGCAGGAGAAAAACAGTCACCAACTCTGCTGGGCACAGATGGCACAGGCTTGTAATCCCAGGGACTCAGGAGGCTGAGGCAGGAGAACTGCAAGTTCAAACCTCAGCAACTCAGCAAGACTCCATCTCAAAATAAAAGTGTAAAGAGGGCTGAGGCTAAATATCAGTGATAAAGTGTGACTGGGTTCAGTCTCCAGTACTGCTAAATAAATAAACACACATAAATAAAATTCACTAGCTGTCATCCAACGTCAACTACAGGAAAGGCCCCAGTGAGGAGGACTCAGTTGAATCTGCATCAATATTAAATTATGGTGGTAAACTACCAAGTTTTTTGGGGGGGGGGGGTTGTTATCCTCCAATAGATAGCCAGGACAGATATTCTAGATAGACACCAGTATGTGCAAAGACATCAGACATGGAATTGCATAGTGTGCCAGGGCTCTGTAAATGCAGCTCATATGGCCAAGAACCTAAAGTGTGGAAGAGAAGAACAAGGAGCAGAAAAAGAAAATTGGAAAGGTAAGCAAGCACCAGGTCATGGAGCATCGTACATACATGCCAATAAGTTTTGATCTTATTCTCTAGGTAACAGGAGTCACTGAAGGGTTTTAAAAAGGGAATGGGGGGCTGGACTTAGCTCAGTTGTAGAGTGTGAGCTCAGCATGCATGAGGCCTAGGATTTGTTCCCCAGCATCCCAAGAAAAGATTAAACAAGTGTGATTTCAAAAGGAGCATCTTGAGGAGGACTGTTATTATTATTATTCTGTGCTGCTAGGAGTTGAACCTATGACCTTGTGCATGCTAGGAAAGTACTCTGCCCCTGAGTGACACCCCCAGCCCTCTCAGAGAACTGAAAGAAGGATAAAACTAGGGACCAGCTGGGAGACTGCTGATGTGGTCAAGGTCAGAGAAACTAAAGGTAATGGAGGGAAAGGGACAAGATGAAAAAAGGTGCAAATGATGGTGCTACCTGGGGCACACTGGGGCTTGATTTTCCCTGAGGATGATGATAGATTAGGGCTGAGCTCTTCCCATGTGACTGCCTGATAGCTGCTTCTTCTGGCTAATGCCACATGTGGGCCAGGTGGCTCTCTGTGCTTAGGGAAGTATAGTTACCTCCAAAAAATGAGACAAAGCCAACTAGACATATGAAGACTGAACTCGTGAACATGGACACAACGGAGCCTGCCAGCCATCATTGCTGAGCAGAGCCACAGACCTGTGGGCAACTATGTCACAAGCACGGTAGGGAATATGATTACATTGCTGATGATCTATACCATGGTTCCTGTTGGGTTTTAGAAATTCTGTAGCAGCTGACTGGCCTCCAGGTAGATAAGGAGCAAACACTCTTTCAGCACCCCCCAAAAACTCCTTATCACTTCCCATTCACCCACATAGTTTTTCTTATACCAACTACATCTCCCCTCCACCCCAAAGCTGCAGGCTGGCTGCTTCAGTAAATGAGAGCAATGTTTCCAATTACACTCAGCTATATTCTTAAGTCCTTTGATTCACTCAGAAGCCTCCTGGAGTACAGGGACAGGCCAAATCAGAGAGGAGACATTTGTCTCAAGTTAAGCGGAAAGTAGATTTATGACCCAGAAAGCAAAGACCTTTCCTAAAGGAGAGTCTGCATTATTTACCCTTATTGCCTTTGTTCAGTAGAAATGCACTGATTTGCCCAGAGGCCTCTGGGAGCAGGTTCAGAACACAAATGCAATAATGACATCAAGTAAGAAACAGAAGGTTCAGAGGCAGAATCTTCCACAGGGAGGCAAGGGGAACCAAAGGAGTCAGAGAGTAAGCAGTTATCATGGATGAGAGGATTAATAGGCACTTTCTTAAACCCATCCTCATGTGCATGCACACACACACACACACACACACACAGAGTCTCACTTGTGATCCATCATGCTGCCCTGGCTGCCACGTGCCACTCTTCAGCCCTTTTCTTTTTCCCAGTGCAGGCAGAATGTTGGACCTCCATGATGGAGCTTGAGCTGATAGGCAGGGAGACCCAGCCTCACCACATGCTACACTCCTGTTAATTCTTCCTGATGACAGGTATGCAGGAGCTCACAATTCCAGGCATGGGGCCAGGACAAGAATTAATTAGGAGAACTGTCTGTAATCAAAATGACAATTGGATCAGATAAGCCAAGCACAGCTAGGCTGGCTGGATTTGAATTCTGGCTATCATCTCCTACCTGTGAGACTCTAGGCAAAGTATTTCATTTCTCTATGCCTCAATTTATCCATATATAAAGAGGAGATAATAATTCTTAGAATTGTCACAATATTAAGGCTCATGGCACAGAGTAGGTAATCAATGAGCATCCTAAAGGTGGTGGAATGGCGGTGGGGGGGGGGGGGCTTGGCTCTGAACAGGTGGGGGAGGATTTGCTAAAGATTCTCTCCCTAACTCTGTGAGGACTACAGCCTCAGGAGGGAATGAGAGCCCACGGAAATAATTCTGGAGAAAAAGGAAAAATGAGTTTTGGGGGAAAAAAGAGTAAGATACAGGAGGCTCGAAGCTACCAGGAACTATCTTTTTATGAAAGCAAAGCCAAGGAGTAGATGCCTGGGAAGGATGTAAAACACAGCCATCAGCCTCAGAGTCACACACAGATGGGAGGAAGAGGGCTGGGAAGGGACAAGGTAAGGAGGAGCGCCACAGAATCATCTGGAGGGACAAAAGAAAGTTCAGCAGGTGACTAAACCAATTAGAGTCACTGAAAGTGAGAAAGAAACATTCAAAAGTCTGTAATCAGTGTCTGGAGGAAATGGGAAAAACAGAAACAGGAGAGAAAAATGGCTAAAAATAAAGCCAGAAAGAACGGGAATTAAGTCAGCCTCTTCAAAAGGCCAAGGCAGCCAGGGAGGCTTTCCTGCTTGGCCTTTACTCTGAGACGCTGTGCATGCAGAGAGGAGGGCCTCTTGGGAGCTGCTGTGGGTAATCCTGTGGAGATCGGTGATGCTGAGGATGCTAAGCAGGGAACAACGAGGCCAAGTGGCAGGATGACAGGCCCCCAGGCACTAAGGTATTAGCT